CTTTCAGCACCAAGGCTGCAATGTCTTTACCCAAACACTGGAATTCTGCTATGCTCACAGGTTAGTCATGTATATTACAAAATAAACTCTGTTGTTTGTATACTTTAAAATTCAGAAATCATTTAAGAAAAGTTAGCTCAATTGAAGAAATTCAGTTTACCTGGAGAATCAGAAGTACCACTGATGTACAGTGTTATTTTAATGACTAAGATTAAGAAATATTATTAAAGTAATTAGCTGATCTCTCCTATTTTAAATTTCCTCATGATAAAGCTGGTGAATTAGTTATCAAAAAAGCCTGTCTTTAAAGACAAATAAATTATTTTCTTATTTAGTTTGGCTTTTTATTTAATAACTAAGGCCACTGAAAAGAAAGTAGATATGTTCCTGATACTAGAATGTTGCCATACCATATGTGATTAAATATTTTTTTAAGAATATTTTTTTGGAAAGAATAATGAAAAGATATCTTCAAAATACTCCAGCTCAGCATAATCCTATTGAAATCAATTAGAAAACACTGCAGAATTTACACAGCTGTTCTACTGGCCCCTTCATGTGCAGATCTCTGAAATAATAAGCTGAACACCAAGTGTTTTAGGAACACTAATTACTACACAAACTTTGGGTGGGGCTTGAACATTCAACAGAGGTTTGCAGATTTCTTCCCTGAAGCCAGGTCACAGCACCGCTGTGAACACTTTGTAAATTCCAACCATTCTTAACATGAAATGTGACTCAACACCACTCTGAAAGGTACCGACTGTGACATGTAAATAAACATTTAAAACTCCACATCCAGGATTTCTGGTCTAAAGACATTTATTTATATCCTGTCCAGTACTGTGAGTAAATGCCTTTTCTTGCTTTCAGTATGATTTCAGTGATGATGACACAATGAAATACCAGAAATACTAATATCCACCAAATGACTAGCAATTGTGGAATAACACATATTAGAACTGTCAATCCAGGCTAATATGCAGTTGCCTCAGATAGAAAACTATTACAGAACTCAGAGATAACCTGCACCCTTTGATCATTCAGGTTCCAGATACAAGTCCTCTGAAGGTAATACAGATGCCTTGAACAGAAACCTGGGGAGAATGAGATAACTAGTGAAATTCTAAACTGGAAAACACTTTCATCTGGTTCATGGGTCAAACACTTCAACAAATACAGGCATTCTGTACTCACAATGACCTACTCCTAAACCTCCCTTAGAGAAGCTAGAATGTCCTCTTTGCTGCAGAACTGGAAAAATAACATTCATCTGGTTTTGATGAAACTTAACTGGTGGTTTTCCTGTATCCTGTATCTTCCATAGGTTTATGACAGCAAGGTCAGCTGAGCAGAACAACTGGAAGTCAAAGCAAGAAGCTCCTGAGAGTAACTAACTAGACTCAATCATTTTCATCCTCCTGCATGCTTAATTTGTGAAGATTTACGTTGCTTTTAAGTTGGATTCCTAGTTTGAGACATGAAGGTTTCAGTCTGGAAAACTAAACAGGAGGCATACAAATTCAGAGTTTACTGCAAAAAGCTGATCTAAACAATTTCAAGAAAGCAGGTAGGACTGAGGAGCCAACTACAATGGTAAAATGATTAATTCAGAGTAAAGTGAGCTGATTTGCAGCACTCTAACCAAACATCAGAACACAGAAACTATTTTAATGGATTAGAGCAGATGTTTGCCTAGTCCAGTGAGGATAGCAGCAGAATATGAACTCTGTACTAGAGAGGTGTGAGATAATCTACCTTCCATATTAAGTCTCAATTTTACTTGAAATAGCACTGAAACTATGATGTAGAGAACAATGCTGAGCCTAACTGTAGACAAAAAGCTGATGGAAAGCTCTCTTCTGAAATGCTTTGTGCAATTCTGTGTGTCCTAATCTCCCTCCTCAATTAAAAAAATTTAAAAGGTTAAAAATTTGCAAAAAAACAGAAACAAAAATCTTCTATTGGGAAAAGGAATAGAATATGAAAATGTTTGCATATCAGGGAAGAGTAAGAATAAAACAGATTAAGATATTTACCTCCCTATAATAGAAAGAGATACTAATAAAACTGAAAAAAATTCTTGATTTAGAAAAAGATGTATTTTCCATAAAGTATAGTTAATTTACAAAATGTCTTGACACAGTGTATTTTCAAATCTAAGAGTTTTGAGGGGTCATAAGCATCCTAGATGTGCATAATTCACTGTCAGATAACCTTTTGGAAGAAACCTAACTTTTATAATCCCTTATCTCTAAGTGCACACTGTATTTTTTCTGACATTGACTCTTGTCAAACCTGGATTCTGAATTAAATCAGTAAAAAAATGGTCCATCACAGAAATCTGTCTGCTATCAACCATGAATAAGTTACCTTCAATTTCTCTGTAATACAGTTTCCTTATGCAAAAATTGCAAATAACTACCAGTATTTCAAGATAAGAAGATGAGAGATGAGTTATTACTTGTGTTTTCTGATCCTTGACTAAAAACAAGATGTTGCTGTTAAAAAAAAAATCCAGCAAGTATAACATCCTCATACTCTCATACTGGCTAAATTGATTTATATTGTTTGAACAATGTTCAGTCCTTCTGTAATGGCTTTATTCTCCTTGCATTTGTGTAAAATGCAGGTTCCAGAGCTACCTTCCTGTATCTCCTAAAGACTACTCAAGATCTCACACATGATGAAGACACACTAAGCAGCGAGGATGCAGCAGGAACATTCCCCAGTTATGTGTTAAACAACAGTGTCAGTGTCACCCAGCAGTAAATGGAAGGAAAAAAGAGATTCTTTGAGGGATTTGCCATGGAAAGAACCTGCCTGTCAACTTAGTGTCAGCTGACAGTCAGAAAAAATCCAAAACACCCCACCTTTTTTTCTCACAGCCTAGTTTCCATGACCTTTCTTAAAAGTGAGCCAAGATCGCAAGCTTGCTTCTTTTTCTCTGAGGGTTTTGGGTCTTTTCCCTATCTTTGTGATTCTTTGCATTTTTAATTCCTTATCTGGTTCCTCCAAAACAGAAGGACCTGCAAATTAAACTTGCAAAGTGGCCAGACAAGCATTGTGTAACTCAAGCAGACATGGACCAGGACATGCAACTTAAACATGAATTCGGCACAAGCTGGAACATAACACTAATGAGAAAATCATTGATTAATCAGCTGCAAAGGTCAGAAGTGGGAAAAGTTCTGGGCAAGACTAAAATCAAAAAAAAAAGTACTGTGACACTGCAGGTTTAAGCAATCCAGCAGAGAACACAATGTAAGTTAATATGGAAATGGTATGAAAGTTACATTCCATGTTGAAGTTACTGACAAGGGCACAGGTACAGGGGATAGGCAGGAAAGCTGACAAAGTCCAATGGCCACCAGGGATCTGTTCCCCAATTCAGAGCTCAGGCAGAGCTGACCACCTGTGTGAGCAGTGGTGCAGAGTGCAAAGGATTAAAATAATCACCTGCCTCATGGACAAGTTCAACACACAATAAACTTCACAGTGTTTTTCCATGGGTTCATCAACAGTATGGCTGAACACAGGGAGCTCAAGAACCATATGGACAATCCATTTAGATGTATGTGGTATCATCTCCGAGAACACAACAGAATTTTACATACTTATCCCTTTTTTTCACCTTAAATGGACTAAAAATCCAAGATAGGTTCTATGGGTATTGCATATTTATTTGGAGCTACTTCTGAGGCTGAAAAGCAGAGGTGCAGCAGCTAACACAGCAGGCTGGGAAAATGAACTCCTGGTTTAGGAACCCAGATAATTTATGTATGGTACTGCGGGAGATTAAATATTCAGGGATACTGTCACCTTTGTTCCATCTTCCAAATGTTAGTATCTCTAATTTTTGTAATATTTGTAATATTTTGAGAGCTTTCACGTGGATTGGAAAAGACCTTAATTGGATTTTGTCACAACAGGAAAGACCCCTGTACCTAGAGGGTCCTTACCATTTATGAGACACAAAACTTCACTTCCACAGACAAACTTATCTCACATACACAGTTAAAGCCATTGTTAATACGTCCTGAATAGGAAGAATAACATCTGGGACCTTCCTTAAAGTAATCCTCAGTGTAAGGGATGGGAGCTGTCAGGGGTGCTGCTCGCTCGCTCTCTCTGCAGCCTCCGGGTACTTTACACCTCCCAGACAGGTCAAGCAGCACCTGCAGGTCAACCCGCAAGCTACCAGCCTTTTGCTGCAGTTGCAATCCCAGACCTGTGCCTTCATGTATTATTTTTTCACGCTAATTCACGCAGGAGGTCGTTTCTTGTGTTAAGGGGAGCTCCTCTGCACCGCCGGTTTGCTCTGCTCTTCGCTACCGCCACCTTTGCCCCTGCGCGGGAGGACGGAGCAGGGTGCGGGAGGATGGAGCAGGCTGCGGGAGGATGGAGCAGGCTGCGGGAGGATGGAGCAGGCTGCGGGAGGACGGAGCAGGCTGCGGGAGGACGGAGCAGGCTGCGGGAGGATGGAGCAGGCTGCGGGAGGACGGAGCAGGCTGCGGGAGGACGGAGCAGGCTGCGGGAGGATGGAGCAGGCTGCGGGCTGCCCCACCATCAGCCTTCTCCTCTGCCCCACCGGGGCTCGGCCCCGCAGCGCCGGCCGGGTGAGCCGGCCTCTGGCCCTCACACCTTCCACGCCACAGCGGGTCAGTCCCGCTCAGGCAGGCCTGGAATGAGGGGGATTCTTCCCTCTCTACCTGCCTGAAAGAGCTTTCCCCACGACCACCTTGTCCCTGGGAAGACTCTCCTCATTCCCCAAGGGAAGGGGCTTTGCCCTTCGTCACAGCTCCTCGGACAGGAGCCCCTTCCGCGGCTCCTTCATCACCTCACTGCCCCCGGCCAGAGATGCTCCCCCCCGTCTCCCCCAGGAGAAGGGCTCCGTCTCCGCACTCCGCTGCGAGCCAGGCCCCCTCTACCGCCAGAAGCCCCTGGAGAAGGGGGGCTCCCCCTCTCCCCCCGCCCAGGCGACTGCGGCTGGCACTGACCCGTCTCTGCCGTCCTGCTCCTCTCCGCCATATTTGTTGTCATCCCGCCACCCCCCCAACGCCGCCCGGCCGTCGCCATGGCAACGCGCGTCACCGCCATGGGGGAGCCCCGCGCTCCCCGACATGGCGGCGGGGCTGACGGCCCTCCCCGGGGACAGCCTGCCCGGGGACAGCCTGCCCGGGCTCATCCTGCCCGGGGAGAGCCCTTCCCGGGACCGCCTGCCCGGGAACAGCCTGAGCAGGAAGCAGCGTCCGCTTCCATCCTCGCCCAGCCCGGCGGCCGCCGCGGTGATGGCGGGCGGGGCGTGAGGGAGCAGCGCCGGCCGCCCGCCCCTCACGCAGCACGGCTCCCTCCGCCCCGCCCCGGCCCGCCCCGGCCCGCCTCCCGCGGCCGCTGTTTACCGGCGGTGCTCGGTCGGGGAAAGGGGGTTCGTTTTCCGCTCCCTGGTGGCTGTCCGCCACCTCGGCAGCTGCCGTCACTGCGCCCCGGAGGACGGAGCTGTGCCGGTACCGGAGCTCCTCCCGGGACTCCTGCCTGCCCGTGGGAGTCGGTGTGGGCTTGAGGTGCGCACAGGGCGCTGAGGAGGCGAGGCTTGTTATCACAGATTATCGGTTAGGTTGGAAAAGACCTCTGAGATCATCGAGTCCAATCTAAGACCAAGCACCACTATGCCAACTAGACCATGGCACCAAGTGCCACGTCCAGTCCTGTAACATCTTCAGAGACGGCGACTCCATCGCCTGCCTATGCTGTGCATTCCCACGTCTAATCACCCTTTTTGTGAAGAAATCTTCCTACTGCCCGATGTCATGATGTTACGTGTCCCCCTCCACACAGCTCAGGGCAGCGTGGGGCAGAGGGGCCGGTGTGGGTTGAGGGTCTCTGTGGCCCCAGGGGAAGCGAGCGCATCCCTCCCGATTCCGGCCTCATGCACTGAGCTGCAGCACGGCAGAGGTGGCCAGTGCATGTGTGCGTGACAGCCCCACCCTGCCCCAAGGCTCAGCAGGTGAGTCTGGTCATGTGGCAGTTATGTCAACTTTTATTTCATTTCTTTTTTTAATTTCTTAAGGCAGCCCAGTGGGGAGCTTCATTATGTGTGTGAGTGTTGCCCGTCTGTCTCCTTGCCCCAGCCCCAGCAGGTGAGCCTGACCATATGGCAAATGCGGTGCTGGGGACGGGAGGGCTTCTGTGTGCGCGTGTTCGCGGGCCCGCTGGGTGACACTCACCATGTGGCAAACACGGCGATGAAGGCTCTGGTGTACAGGGGCTAATTATGTGTGTGAGTCCCGGGGGACCCGGCAGGCTGGGTGTGATCATGCGTGTCTCACTAGTGCTGAGGCGCAAGCTCCATTGTGCATCCTCTGTGCAGACAGCTCCAGCCTCTCGGACCACAGGACGAGCGCAGGGTTACAAGCACAAGCACCAAGACTGATGTTTATGTGCTTACACCGGCAGACGTGGGGCTGAATGCACCCCGAACCAGGTGGTTGCTAAAACTGTGAAACAGGGAGTACACCAGTAATGCTAAGTAATGGAAAGAGGCAGGACTGTTTGTGGTTATGCACACGCTCAGGTGCTTGCTTCCTTAGATTTTATTAAATTAATGTAACCACTTCCTAGTGACCAGTGACTAGACAGAGAAAAAAAAACCAAGATTGAAAGATAAGGCATGTAAAGTTGTATCTTTCTCCATCTAAGTTCTGTTATTTAAACATCACTTTACCTCTTCGTCTTCCTATCTAGTATGTGCCTTTTCTGCTCCAGTTCAGCTCCTCTTAATGACACTCAGGTGGATTATACCTATAGGTTCTACATACTTAGATTTTTCTGTGGGTCACTTGCTTTCTTTCTCCCTGGGAAAGAGAAAGCCTGCTCCTTTTTTCAGCCTTGTTCATTCTTCTTTCAGTTCATAGTTCTCTGGTTATTTTTGCAGCATCTATTTTTGTGGTTTCACTTCCTTTACTGTTTCCTTTCTTTTTAAGTGGCACTTAGGCCTCTTTCCTTTATCTATTCCTTTTCCCTCTCAGTATCTTACTTTAGTATTATATAAGCTAATTGAATGTTACTTCAGCCACATTCCTGTTCCATGATGACATACCTGTCTGAAGTGGTGTACCAAGGAGGCTTTGTGATGGGCTTGGAAGATACACCCTTTCACAGAAGAATGTTGAAGGCCATACAGATCCAAGCTCTGCAAAAATATTTTCTAGACTTCCCCCTCTGCAGTCTTTATAAACTATAGATGGTCACTTGCATACTAAAAAGGTGGATTTGTCTCGCTGCTGACAGTGAGCTACACTAAGCACACACACCCCCACAGACACATTCTTTCCCTTACAGCCTTGCTCCAGGCCAGCAAATCACCCAGGCCTTCTGCTCTTCCTCCTCTATTGCTGCGTAAATGATCCTGGGACTTCCCTCTTCAGAATATGCCACATATACTCGCTGATCTTTCTCTTCTTTCTTTTATGTTTCCTGATAGCCATGTCCCATCCCAACTCTCCTTCAAATAATTTCTCACAGTACTGATCTCTTCATTCCTTTATTTGATATTTCTTTTTTTTTCTTTTTTAGGTCTTAAACAGCTCTGTCCAACTTTGCAGCTCTAGTCTGGTTTCTTACCATGTCCCCACATCCCCTTATTCCCTTTGTTCTACTTGCTATTCCAGCTTTAGTGTCCTCTCATCCATATTTCATTTCTATCTATTATTATCCATATAGCATTTTTCATCTGTAAATTTCTAAGAATTAAGTGCCTGTGGAGAGACTTTCCATATCTCTTCTTCGGGTGACCTCTTTATTCATATTTCTCTGAGACTCGCTTCTATGGTGACCACAAATACTAATCCAAAGGCCTTTTGCATCTAATTGCCAGCCGATTAACTCAACTGAAATACCTGCAAGAAGTTCTATTGAAATCAGAGACATTTGGGGAAAGCACTTTTTCCATTCAAATTATCTCTTCTGAGTTAACACACTTGAAAAACCTAGAAATGCCACACTCATTTTTTTAGTCTGAGTTTAATGCTATGTTATAGTCACCTCACCAAGCTGAAGTGGTGTTAAATATAGATGATATGCAGTCTTTCCAAAAACAGCAAGATAATTTGACAAACGAGAACTGGAAAGTTCATATAGAAAGTTCTTTTGGAAATAGACAACTGAATGGTGTCATTCGAATCAGGGCTAAAGAATGAGGGAAATGGTTTTCAGGAGAAGCAGTTGCATATTTTTATTTGTGCATTTTTAGAGCACCTGAGAACATGTTGGGGTTGTCATTAGTACAAAGAGGGCTTTGGCCCTAACAGTTTGGACATTACAAAATAATAAAGAATAACAGAACACTTTTGCAAGACACTGGTGCCCTGGTTATCCTCACATTTGCTGCTTCAGCCCTATTCCTTGTTCCAGCACATCTCCCCTCCCCCTTCTGTGTTTTGGCAGCAAAAGCTGCCTCATTTCTGTGGCTCTTTGCAGCTTATTCCCACCCCACCATCTTTTAATAGCCTATGGAGAAACCAACGGCTTCCCCCCACACATTTCATTCAGTAATAACTCTCTACTTGTTACATTTTCAAACCAGCACCTTCATGCTTTCCCTCGCTGCTGCTTCGCACTCCCACTCACTTAATTTTCCTCCTTCAAATCCCTCCCTAAAAATCTCCTCTGCTGTGATGTCTACCGAAGGAATGATAATGAATAGTCAGCTGTGTGCCAAGCTGAGTGTCTGTCATGGGGACTGGTCTGATGTGTTGGGCAGCCACTGCTTGTGTGGGACTGGCAGTGCCTGGAAGCAGCCCCTCTTTTCACTCTGCTCATTATGGGTCCAGGGATGGGCCCTTAAAACTCATTATATAAGCAAACAAAAATAAATTGAGGCAATCGAAATAGAAATGGAAATGCTGGCCAAAACCAGGAAGATTAGACAATATTTCAGTTATGATTCATCAGCTTAGGTAAATTTACATAAAAATTAATGTGACTGACAACTCCCTTCATTACAAATATTGAGAAATAAATTATTTTTCTAAATACAGATTTGTGCCATTTCTCTACTTATTTATAATCTATAAGGACTTGAGGAGTATGCTTTTTTCTATCTGTGCTTGAATTTGAAACATTAGATATTCCATTGTTTGTTTATCTTTCGTTTGCAGCCTGCAAAGCTGTGGTGATTAAAGAACATAAGAAAGAATTATAACGCAAGAGCAAAGAGTTGAAAGGAAAAAAGATTCCTGATCACATCTTTTTTAACATAAGGATAATTCAAATATGTTGAAGATCGAATGATTTGTGTTATACATTCAATACTTCTGATTCAGCTAGAAGTGGTTGCTGTCAATACATGTCTGTCGAAACCCCAAAGAAAATCAGTAAAAATCCAATTTTACAATCCTGATATTTTCAGTGTTTAAAAAATTGGCAAAAAAATGCCCTTTCTTATGCATTACAAAAAAGCCAGTAAGGAGCATTATTGATTTTTCACAAATCATTTGTGACTGTTAAGGCTGGATGAGGAGAAGATGGGAGTATTAGCACGAGTTTTGCATCCGTTTCACATGCCACATGCATGGTGCATGATGTGGGTCTTCAAGGTGGCTATTTAAGAATCTAGGTGTAATTGTGTAGAAATCACAGAATTACTCTTTTTTTGTATCCCCTTCCCCACATAGAATAAAGTAGCGCAAGCATTCAAGTATATTTCAACTGTGACTACTGTCAGAGAAAAGGCCATAAAAATGGTTCTGATGCAAACACACAGCCATCAACGGTGGCTGTGCAAGCAGAGCAGGCACAACACAATTTTAAAAAGAAGGAAAAAAAGAAAATCAAAAGTCTGGTCAAAGTTTTTAGCCAGGTCTGGTGGATTCAGAGATAGAATTAAATCTGACAAAGAAAGAAAAAGCCAAAATGAAAACCAAAGGCCAGACTGAGATAGCAAAATTGAAGTGAATTTTAAACTATGCACACATAGTGGAGGAATCCTATAATCTTATTATTGTAACCTTGATCCATTCGTTCTCCCAGCATTTATTGCTCTCATTAGTTATGTAATATCTAAAAGCACACTGTACATTTTTTTGTGTCAGGACAGTATCTTTAATGTATTCTGCACATGGCTAGTATAATTAGAGAGCTTTATACAAAAATAATATTACCTGC